TTTTTATGGAAGCTCACACTAACAATAGTAGTAGTATTAACTATATACTAAAACAAGTACAAAAATCAACTATAAAATCGTAATTTTTTCATAAAAATAATTTTTTAAAAAGGTCAAACCTGGGATTTCGATCTGATAAAGATGTTGAATTATGGGGTGGAATTTTGTTCTTCACAAAACTCAAGTTTTCAGTCCTGCATACCAAATCGTAGAAACTTTTTTGAAAGTGTAAAAGAAGAAATTAGTCATTTCAGTAATATCCTACTACTTACTCAATACTTTGAGAGTAAGATTAAGGCTTATTTTTTATTAATTTTTTCTTAAAAACATAAATGAAACTTAATCATATTACATATTGTAAAAATTAAAATTAAGAAAAATTATTCAAAAAAATAATGAAAGTAATAAATGTACTAAATATTTGCATATGATTTTATGTAATATATTTATAGTAATAATTTTATCATAATTATAACTTTACTAATTATAGAAACAACAACAAAAAATTCAAATTTAACAAAAAATTTTTATTAAAGAAAATTAAATTATAAATTAAATTTTTATTTTTATAGCAAAAAAAAATTGGGATATTTTTTTAGAAAAAAAGTTAAAATGGTGCAAATTTTTCATTTAAATTTATCACTTGCACTAATCAAGAATAATTTTCAAATATATTCTCAAATTATTTTTAAAATATTCCGCGCACTGTGCCATTCAAAAAATTAAGTTAATAAATAAGTAAAGTTATACTTTTACAGCTTACAAATTAAAAAGTACCCAAAAGAATTTACCCAAAAAAAACCCTTTTTAAAAATTTTTTTTATTTTTTTCCGTTTTAGAAGTTTACCAAAAATTTTTACTTTGACAATTTTTTTGAAATTGGAACAGTTTTTGAATTTTTGATATTTTTAGCAAAGCTTTGAAAACAAAAATACTAGCTAAATACTAGTCTAAAGCAGTCGTAATACACTTTATTATAATTAGTAATTTGAATAAAGTTACGTGTTTTGAACTATTTTTACACAAATAAGGAAGTGTTGCCCAGAATGGTCGCCTAATTTCTGCAAAAAAATAGCTGAAAAATTTAATTTGAAGAGATTTAGCTAATTTTTAAAGACTTGGCCAAAAGACTTTCTTATATTTGACGTGTGAATATTGGCTAATTTTGGAAGCCTAAGGCTTTTTCCTACTTGTCAATGTGTTGTTGGCTCAGCTTTATTGATTTTGAACTTTTTTAAATTGCAATATAATATTAATGAGTATTGAAAAGATCTATTAATCCCTTAAAGTAATTAGTCATTCTGAAATTGAAATTTGTGCATGAAAGGTCAAAGTTCTCCGTACACGTGAAAAACTAGATCAATATCCTCTCTTGAAGATATCAGTTTGATTTTTATCATATGTTTGATGCATACTTTCGAATGACTAGGCCAAGGACGTTTGAATTTTACAGAAGCAATCAGACAAACATTTCTTTTCTATATGATCGCATTTTGATATGTTTGGCTTTGTTAATCACTACTTACTATTCGGTGAAGCAATTTGCTAAAAGTAGAGTAGAATTCACTTGAAGTACTCAGATTCTTGCCCTCTAACCTTAAAATAAATATTCTCGCCCTTTAACCTTTTTGCCCTCTAATCATAAATTAGATATCCTTGTCCTCTAACCTTACATTGAATATTAAAGCCGTATTAACAACTAGAAGCAAAATTTCTATGCTTTCTATTTACTTCAAATATCTTATATCAAGACCATTTCCATTTCTGTTTTTCTTTCAGAAGGACTTAGAACATCTGAATTTCATTTGCATTTACTCAAGATGACACAAATAATCGCTAAATTGTACTATTACACAGGCATCTGTAGCTAGTCTCAACTCTTTCTTCTTTGAGATACAAATTAGTCAGTGCCACCTTGAAACAAAAGAGATGTTTATTGCACTAATATATTTTGATGTGTTTTATGGTTAATGTTTTGAATTATTTGAATTAGTTACTTAGATTAGAATTAAGTATTGTTGTTTTTGATATATAATTTTTGTTGCACAAGATCCTATATAAGTTGCAGAAGCTTATATGCAAAATAAGTTAAGCATGAGATCATTGTTTTGTTTGAAATCAGATCTATATAATTTAAAATTTAATCAGATCTCATTTTTATTTGTAATTATGTACAAATATTTAAGTTCTAATTAATTATTTCAGTAATGCAATACATTTTCAGGTATAAAATGAATGACGAATGGAATTTGTTGGATGAGGTTTGCATATTATTTTTTGCATTATATTCTTGTTTATCATAAATTACATTTAATTTATTATGCAAATTTTTTAATGTTCTGTCTATAAAAGACTCAAATATTTTGTTTCATTTCATTGTTGTTTTCTTTGGAAAGCGTTTCTTATTAAAAATGGATGGAATAATGTGCTTGAATATTATAAGAAGCTCTTATTTTCAAGTACGCTTATTTTGATTTATATGAGAGATATTATAAATTACTGTATTTTACTTATTGTATGCATTTGATTAGTGTTTGAAAAAATTGAAGAACAAAATATATTTTTTAATTATTTCAGATTTTTGTTTTGTGGATGGTCAATATCGCAAAAATTGGCATGATTGTTTGTTTATAACATTAAAATAAATTTTAAACAATAAGCTTGGTTTTCATTCTTATTAAATGTAAATGAAATGGTTATAGACGGATGTGTTAGCTAAGTTGCAACCAGATTTTGATGAGTTGTTGGAGTCAAAAAATTGGATCGAAAGACGAGATGCTTTACAGTCGTTATTGTCAGAAATAGAAAAAACACCTCGTCTTGATCCAAAAGTCGACTATTTCAACATAACTCAGCGTTTACGCAATGTAAGTGCTAGTTTATTTTATATAGAATAGAGCTGAATAGGTCGAAAGGTAAAAAAAATTGAATGTTAAGAGTTTAAGCAAATTTACCATTAATGAAACAATGTAAGCACTGACTAGTTATTTCGTTTTGTCAAGTATTTTTATTAAATAATCGAAAAAAAAACCTCAGATTCTGTCAAAGGATGCGAATATTAACGTATGCGCTGTGGCAGCAAAATGTATTACTGCTATTGCAAAAGGTCTCCGAACAAAGTTTGCACAATTTGTCACTCTGGTTAGAATTTTGTCACGCGTTTGTAACGCAAAACTTTCAGTTACTTAGTTTTTTTAAACGCATAAATTAAAGTTGATCGATTAATTATAGCACACTTTTTATTTACTTTAATAGAATTTTAATTAAAATAAATAATGGGATTTAAATTATTTGATTTGGAGTAATTTTTTTGAATAATTGGAAAAGTTAATAATTTTCAAGAAATTAAAACATCCTTGTTCATTTTTTAAGTACATGCCAGTAATATTCGAGCGCTTCAAGGAAAAAAGATCAGTATTGCGTGATCCACTAATCAATTGTATCGATGCAATAGCACTAACAGTATGTTATATTGTTGTTATTAATTATCGTTAAAACAGAAATATAAAAATTTTAACAATAGTTGTTACATTACTCTTAATGTTTTATATTTTTGTTTAAGTTATTATGCATATCTTCTGCAGGTAAATTTGGACACTTTAGCTGAAGACCTTCCCGGATATTTTAACAAACCTAATCCTCACATTAAGATTCAAGGATGCAATTTCATCTACCGCGTAATGAAAAACTATAATCAGAATTCATCACCTAAAAAAGTCATCAAAAGTGTAACACCCGTTTTAGTTAAGGTAAATCTTACTGGTGTCTGCTTTTTAATTCAAGTTTCCAAATACGTAAGATTTAAATAGTACACATCAAATTTTAGTTCACCGCAGATCCGGATGCCGATGTAAGAGATGCAGCATGCACTGCACTTGGATCTATTATGCGAATAACAGGTGATAAAGTGATGTATACATTCCTGGGTTCATTGCAAGAAGATAAAACCAAGATGAAGAAGGTTAGTAGCTGTGTTTTGTGAAAGTTTGCGGACTCGTTTCAGGATCATAATTTTATTTGCAGTAAAATAGTATTTTCAGTTGTAAAAATCACAAGAATTTTCAAACTTAATTTTATTCATTTCTTTTGAAGATGGACTTTAGCTTCCTAAAGTTCCTGCATCAAGTTGCATTATACCATTTCTTTTCGGTTTCATAGTTACTTCTGTAATTTGATTTTTGAATGTTTCCAACTTTGTTTGATTGTTGGTTTCAATTATTTTTGAAATAGTTAACAAAATTTTTCGAAAATAGTTATCATATTTTATTACTAAGCATTGTTTAGTTTTTTTTATTGTGTGTTCTGCTTTCATACTTCACAATTTTTAAATTCTACTAATTGCTAGTACTGTTCCACTTTTCCAATTATATTCACTTAATTCATAATTTCAATATAACTCAACTATGGAACTTTTTTCCATATAAGCTTGATCGTTCATTTTCGAGATATCTGATGGTCGAGACCAAGCAATTGCTGAATATGATGAAGTAGCAAGTGTTAAAAACGAGACAGTACCCAATGGACTTATTGTGCCAAATAATAATTCCAGTCCTCTCAACGAAGATGTTGTGACAGGTAGATTGATGAGTAATTTGAAATACAAGTAGTGTCACATGGTTATAAATTATAATTCTTGATAGGTATAGAAGCAAAAGCTTCCGAAATCGATCTTTGGGATACGTTAGATGCCGTAGATGTTCTTTCCAAATTGCCGAATGATTTTATGGAAAAAATAGAATCAAAAAAATGGCAAGAACGCATGGATGGTTTGCAGTCCTTGTTAGCCCTTTGTCCTAAAAATACAAAACTATGTCCCAAGGCCAGTTATGGAGAATATGTAGATGTGATTAAAAAGGTACACCTTGATCGTTCATTTTGTGCTTCTTATCAACTAAAATATAGATATGTATCAAAATTATTTTCAGATTCTTGAAAAGGATGCAAATATCAACGTCTGTGCTTCAGCAGCTCGTTGTTTAACAGTGCTAGCAGCAGGTTTACGAAAAAAATTTGCACCTTTTGCAACAGTAGTTGCTTCGACAATATTTGAGAAATTTAAAGAAAAAAAACCTGTGTTGAGAGATCCACTTATCGACTGCATTGATGCTGTTGCTGCTTCGGTATTTCTTGAATTAAATTAAGAGAAATTAAAAGTATCAAATATTTTATTTTCACAATTTATAACATATCCTTCAAATTTAGACCACATTGGATGCATTAACTGGTGATATTCAAGCAGCTCTCAACAAGCAAAATCCGCATATTAAAATTCAAACAAGCCTTTTCCTTTATCGAGAGTTCAAACGCCATAATTCGTCTTCGATTCTCAAGAAAGTTCTAAAATCACTTTTCCCAGTTATGACAAAGCAAACTTATGATTCAGACCCTGAAGTACGTCAAGCTTCTTTTGCTGCTCTAGGTGCTGCCATGAAAGCTATTGGAGAAAAACCGTGCATGATTTTGCTTGCCGACATTGCAGAAGATAAGACGAAAATCGAAAAAGTATTTTTCAAAGTTAAAAATTCTTCAGTGAGATTAGTTTTATTTATTCTCATATTTTCATAAATTTTGATTTGTGACCATCTTTGTGGGTAATTCAATCTTCTATGAATATCAAGTACATCAGTAATAAACTCACTTTTTTCGCATGTGACACATATTCTATAATCAAATATGTTTCATAATGCACAGAATTGTGGCAGTTTACACTATTCTGTAAGTGGTGAACACCTTAAAATAATTTGTAGATCAGAGGTTTCTATCAAAAAGCTGTTCAAGAAGCTGGTACAGATGTTGTTTCAATTATGGTGCAGAGCATGCATAAAAGCAATGTTAGTCACTTTTTGCATGAAGATGTTTACATACTAGTTTGTGAGAAAATACTAAGTTAAGTTGCATCGTATTTAAAGCATTTAATTTTGCTAATCCTGTTGAAATAAACCACACTTGCTCAAATCATTGCAGCAGACCTTCATTAATTATCAAACAAAGCAGATTACCGTGTATTAAAGAAAAAATCTTATTGACAGAAAATTTTTTGATTTTTTCTTTTAACTTTTTTGCATACTTTAAAACTGAACATCATTATTTTCATAGTGAAAAACTATACTTGTGGTATTCGTGTTCTGCTTGAAAAAATGTTTTATTGTGGTGTTTGAATATAATGTTGATCTGTTACCGCTTGTTATTATGGTGAGTAGTTTTTGTGTGATGCTGTATCCTTCTGTTTTACTGTCTGTGCTATTTAGCCGAAAACTGAAGAAGATGCCAGAAGCGCTACTTCGAATTCCACTTCAGTAAGTTGCTTTTTCGTGAATTTTTGGTTGGTTTTAAAGAGAATTTATGCCTGGTTGCTTAAATCTTTTTATAGGTTTTTAATCTTAAATCTTTTTTTTCTTAAATTTTGTTGTCCGCGAAGCGTGAATGCATTCTTTTCCATGTTTTTTCAATATTATTTAGTCGAATTTATCGTACTGCGTCACTTGATTACAGAATGGTCGGAGAAGTACTTATCGGTAGATAAAAGAAAAATTGCTATAGTTCAAATATTTTAATATTCATTCAGAAGCGAAAAATGTATTTTCGTATCATAAGATTATTTCCCTGATTTTGTATTTTTGCATGCACTCAGTGTTGTGGAAATATAATGATGTCAGGGATAATATGATCACATCGCACATGTTTTTCTCAAGTCACTATAAAATGGCATTGGTGTCTTGAGGTTTCTCAATACGATGGATGACTTTTTAATTCTGTTTTTTCTTCTGAGAATCATGGAAATATAGCAAGAAATTTTTTTTAGCCTTTAAAGCCCCCAGCACCTGGAGTAGGAAATTCAAATCCTGATGGAAACATATCTGTGAAAGAAGTAAATGAAGAGGAGCGAGTGAGGGAATCACAGAAACTCTCTCCCATTGAGAATACTGCTAAGGTTTGTTTTCTCTCAGTAACTTTAGTAAGTGTGATATCAGGGAGTTTTTAATGTTTGTAATGACATCGTTTGTTTTGAGGTATCTGAAGAGATAACCAGACCGAAAGATGAATTTCTTGTAATTAACAAGGACAAAGGAGCCAGATTAAGAGACGAAAGAAATCTTCGAGTACGCCTATCATATTCGTTTGTTTTACTCAAATATAATTTGAATCATATGTATATATAATTTTATGATGGGATTCTGCTCATAAAACAGATTTCATAAAATATATTTCAGATACTCAAATGGAACTTTGATCAACCTGATGCTGAGCATGTTGATCAGCTGAAAACATTACTAAGCAGTGTTACTCAAGCCTCACTGTTGACACTATTATTTAATAAAGACTTTAAACTTCAGCTAAAAGGGATTGATATTTTACAATCGGTATGGTTACTAGCGGCAGTTTTGCATTTCATAATCTTGTCCGTTTTCTTTGCAGAAGATTGCTGTGATTCATTCGATTTAATTCTATTATTTTAAAATATTTTATTATTGTATCACTTAAATTCTTTTGTTTAGTTAGTTACCGATTGTCCTGAGTCACTAATCACAAATAGTGATTTGATATTGAAGTGGATCTCCTTACGATTTTTCGAAACAAATCCAACAGTACTTTTAAAAGTGCTTGATTTAACGCAAGCAATATTTAATCTTTTGCTACAGCATAAAGAGCCTTTCTCAGATCAAGAACTTTGCTCGTTTATTCCTTATTTAATTTTAAAGGTTTGTCATCTTCATATTTTGAAATTGTTCAAAAAAGGATTATTTGTAACCTTAGTGATGAAGAGTAATGAAGATTCTAACTTCACTCTACATTGCTTCTAAAGGATTACAGATATTAGCGTACGTACTACAAATCAGTGACCCTGAAGAACGAATTTCTTTTATTTATAAACAAAAAAGAGGTTTCAGTTTCTGAAATAAATGTGAGAGAACTTTAGGTTACTGCTGTCTACGATATAAAAATTTGTCAGTGAAGTGTTGAAAATTTCTGTTTAGTTAGGGGAACCAAAAGATTCCGTTCGCACTCCTGTTCGAACTATAATCCAGTTAATGACCGAATTAGTTACTCCGCCCAAAATATTTCCTCTGATACTGGATGGTTTGAAGACTAAAAATTCAAGACAAAGAATGGAATGCTTGCAAGTGTTAGAACAATTATTGGATACAACAGGAATAAGAGCGACTGCAACACCTTCAGTAATCTTTTTATTCATTTCTTTAGTTATTTTTTTTTCAGGATAGACATTTTGCATACTACCTTGGTTGATGTTTCACAAATAAATTTTTAGCAATCTTTGAAACAAATCGCTGCATGCATCAGTGATCGGGATACTAATGTTCGAAATGCGGCTATAAATGCAATAGTTGTAGCTTGGAAAGAAGAGGGTGATCGAGTTTTTCAGCTTATTGGTAAAATGAGCGAAAAAAATAAGACAATGTTGGATGAACGGATCAAAAGAAGTGGTATGGTGTCCAGAGTCCGAGGTAGAAGCTGTGCTTTATCGTTTAGTTCACTTTTTTCTCCATGTTTGTTTATGTTTTAGGAAAGATAGTTAATTAGAATTTAAGTACTAAATTATAAGAGATTGGAATTGCGGGACAAAAAACATTGGCAATACTTGATAATCATAAATGCAAGATTTATTGATTAGAATAGCTGGTTTTATGATTTATTATTTTAACGAAATTTTCAATGTTTAAAAGTTTTGTAGGAGCTCCAGAACGAGTTACTGCTGCATCAAGACGCACTTCAAATATAGGTGTCGGTGTTAAAGGTTTTTTTACATACTTTTCTGTTTTATTTTTTTTATCATATTTATCATTGTGCATTATCGTGGCATTAAAATTATTCACCATTTCAAAAGTAATGAAACAAGAATTTTTTTGCAATAAGGATTATATTTAACTTGTATATTTGTCTACTTGCTAACTGTGTTTGATGCAATTTGTAGGTAGAGGAGTGAGAAATGATCGATCTTTAAGTAGAGCAGGCAGAACGACCTATAGAAGTGCTAGTATTTCTCGTGATTCTAGTCCAGCTGAAGACAAAGAAAAGAATCGTACATATATTTTACCTGTAAGTTCAACCTTTCATAGGATACAATGTGTATGTATAATCAGCATGAAAATATGTGTTAATTTTAAAATTTCACTAATTTTGTTTTTCAATCTTTATAGGAGGAACATACAGCTGATAAGAATGAAGTTGGTGAGACCCGTAAACGATTCACATTAAATTTCGATGTTAGTTTCCTTGTAAATTATACACAAATTCTCAATTTTTCATTTAACGTATGATTTCATCCTTACAGATCTTAAAACTTGACGATGATGAAGGATTGCTGGAGTTTCCAGAGTTAGGTTCGGACAAATTGGAAATGTTGCATCCTATTGAGCCAGTTGTTTTTCCACGGAAACATCCTTCAAAATATACAAATCGAGCAGGATCTGTCAGTTCACTAGCATCGATAGAATCTTTAACGAGCGATGTTGATAAAGTTCCTTTTTCACCTCTAAATACTTTCTGGAAAGTTTAAAAATATTATTTGTTTTTTTCTTTTAATATTTTTCAAGGTTATTCACAATATGGCTTCAATGTCTCCAACAACAGCAGCGTCAGCTATCAGTCAACTACAGTTTTTATTTGGAGATCCAAATAATTTCCGATATGTTGCTGATCGGACAGATGCAATTGTACATGCAATTGTAACACAGTCATCGATCATACGAAGTCGACATTTAAATGATATGAGTCGATTAACTGAACTAAACGAGCTTGTTCGGACAATTTGTCATTTTTTAAGTTCTGTATGTTTTGATTTTGATAGTCTTTGTAAAACGAATTCTTAAAGTTCATTCAATCAAGATTTGTTATGATTTTCATACCAGTAAAAATTTACCTGATTGTAAGGACTTACCATCATACTCCATTCCTCTTTTAACCGTTTTCTAAAATTGTGTCTTTCAGTTTTTCATGAGTGAATGAAAATTTTTATGTATTGACCTTTAAGAGATGTAAGTTTTTCAGTTACTTAAAGAGAGTACAACATGCTCAAGAATGTCAACTGAATCATTAAAAATTCTCATCCAAGAATTCCTTTATCTTTTGAAGGATGAGCGCATGAATCAGCTGAAAGATATTCATTCCGTAAGTATATTATGCTTAAATTATTTACCATCTAAATTCATCCAGTTCACTCATTTTATGTATCTTTATAGATAATTCGTTCTCTAAATTACTTGTCCATTCGACTGTGTGACAACGCCGATCTCACCGCTTGTTTCCTTGCTTTATGTTCGATGTTAACTTCCGCTTTGCACGATCCACGAAACCAGACTGTTCCATTGATAGTTAAGGTGTCCCCTGAAATTTTGAATAATTATTCCACTTTGTGTTCCAATATTTTATATAGATCAAGAATTAGAGAGTATCTTTAGAAGCTCTTTCCACAGCGACTAAATTACTTTGCTGTAAGTCTGAAATTTTTTATTCAAACGTTTAAAATGTTAAACATAATGAATTTTATGCCTGCTTATATACTTTTAGTGTCTTTATAAACAATCTCAAAACTTTGAACGCAATGTGAAATTGGATCTGGATGCTATTGTAAAAGCAGTGCATGCAGTAATGCAAGAATTCCAACCGCGTGTTGAAGAAAGTGAAAATATCAAAATTTCAATGCATGCAATACAATTATGTATACAGCGTTTGATAGCGAATTCGTCGGTTTGATATAATTCCTCATCATAAATTTAGTTTTATAGTCCAGAAATCCATTTAAATATTTAGTAAGTTTCTTAAGAATTTCTATCTATTGCTTGCTATTTTTCTATGCAAATTCTGTTATTTGAGACATTCATTTCAAGTTTAGTTTATTTCTTCACCTATACGGTCAGTTTTTTACGTGTATATAAGTTTATGAAATTTTATTTTATTGAATTTTCTTTCTTCCACAGATATAAGCTGATTTTTAAGCTATTTAGATTATTCAACATATTGGAGTCATTCCTAATCCTGAATCGAGTGAAGCTATTATTTACATAAATAAATGTATTCGCAAATTGGAAAGCAATCCGAATGCTTTGGCTTTCTCGGCATTTGAAGAGCTGCCAGGAGAGGTTTGCTTTTATCAGCCGCTATTTAAAAAAAAATATAAATGGTTGATCTAAAAAGCAGACTTCAAAAACTGATGCTTGCAAGCACATTTTTAGTAAGTTTATGTTAATGATTTTCTCATAAAAGATGCAGTGTTATTGATGTTATCAATTCTAGGTAATGTCATCAAATTATGAAGAGTCGATCCGGAACTTTATAACGATGATTGTTGAGCACCCTGTTGGAAAAGTTTGTAAAATTCAAAATCTTTTATTAAGTTTTTTTTGGTCAAATTAGAAAAAATCTTTACAGAATTGTTACTGCATGTACTGTTACACTTGTAAAATTAAAAAGAATTTTCTAGGGTTTGCGTCTTCTGCATACCTTTCTGAAAGTAAATCCTGATGGACAAAAATTTTTGGAGACAGAGCTGAAAAAGTATTCCCGAACAAAAGTCAGTATTTTGTATATGATCTTCGTCACCTTACTGATTGTTCTCTTTTGAAAAGAAGTTTAGGAGGATCGAAGTATTTTTATCAGTAGGAAAAATATTATAATATTGAAAAAATAGCAGATTAAATTTTTTTTGATTTGTTATTTCAAAATATGCATAAATTTTGAGTGTTTTCCACTTAAGATTTCTGAAACATTAGGAAGATAAGCAATTTGCAACTTTGATGTCTCTATTTCAAATGCATTAAGATAGTATCTTACTCCTATCATTAAACGGGTTACTTGATTTGTTGAATGAAATAACTGTAGGAAGCTCTATCATTCATTTGGGTTAATGAATCTTTGATGTTACAAAATGCAAATTGTGAGGGAGTCATGAAATGGAATGCTTCCGTATAAGTTAGAGCAGCAGCAGAAATTTTATTAGAGAATTTATTTTTGGTGAAATCATTTCCAAATTAGGTTTTAGGTTTTGATCAAAATTTAGATTTGAATTGTTTATCTGAGTTTTATGGCATGGTTATTTGTGAATAACTCCTTCTTGCTCTTCTTTTATTCACTTTTCTGAATGGAAACTAAGTTTAAAAATAAGTCTGTTTCTGGAGGAAATATTTTTTAGGATTTCATTACTTTTCATCTGAAAAAGATGGATCATGGGAATCGCGAAACTCCAGAAGTCACAGATGAACTATACAATGTATACTTTTCTTACTTACTGATTTAGCTTACTTTGAACTTCAGAAATGGGTAATTGCAGTGTTCAGTCCTTAAATAAAAATAAATGAAGTTGAAATTTTTCCTGTAGACTTGTTTAAACCTGTAAACGTTTTTATGTACTCTAAGTGCAAAATGTTAATAGCAGTAATGTTGAGGTAATGGAATCAATTCGCGAACATCGTGAAGCATTACGTAGTTATCGCCAAACAGGTTGGTGGACGGGTTATAATGTTTCTTCTCCTCCTACGTCGTCTGCAGAAGAAAACAATAGAACAGTGAGCTCACGTCGTTCATTTCAAAGGTATGTTTATTCGCATTAGTCTCTTTTTTCTGTAGAGGAGACATTTGTTAAACCTTTTTCACGCTTTCATGATATGCACAGTTAAGATGTAATGAATTTTTTTTTTTTGGACTTTTATAATTTTGATTCAAAATTTCTTTCAGTTGATTTGATTTAAGATTTGTTTTAGACCATTAACCGAAGGAGCACCAGAAAATGATTCAGCCTTAACGCTTATTTCGAAGCCGAAATTTACGGCAAGCGACGTTGAACCATTGAGACAATTATTAAATATGCGTCGACAGCAGCAGTAGTAGCGTAGTATTACGGTTTTATGTGCTTTTATGATTTTAATTGTTTCCTTCAAGCAGAAGCAGAAGAAAAGAGGAAATGTTATCAAAAGTGATTTCGTAGCATAGGTTATTATGACTTTGGTTGTAGTTGATCTTTAATTGTATGTTACTATTATTTCCTGTAGTCATTCCTTGACTAGGAGAGGGGAGAAACTTATAAATAGTACAGTTGAGTTAAATATAATGTTTCATTGCTGAACTTCTCTCCATTACCGCAGTTTTTTATTCTTCTGGATGCTGCATTTTAGTTTCTGAATATCATTTCTTCTATTTATCATATCTTTTGCATCCTTTTTTCTTGTATTCAAATTATTATTTGGTGTCGCATTTCTTGAACAGGTTCATATTCATATTGCTTTATGAATTAGAATATTTTCATCTGTGTTTTTGTGTCACACTTAATTGTCCAGACTTTAAAAGCATGAACGATAGATTGAAGATTGGTCTTAGAAATTAATTTAACGGAGTAATCGAATTTTCCTCAAGACTGAATTAGAAGAAAGTTTTATTTCGATGTAGTGTTCCTTTCATGGTTTAATATCAGATGGAAATTTCTATTAGTAGAATTGGTTTTTCAATCGCAAATAATCGAAGAAGCTGGAGATGCAGGGCTGTATTTTCTATTTGTATTACGCATTGATAATTAGCACGTTATGGTGTGAATTGTTTTCAACAGAATCTTAAGATTATACTGCAATAAATGAGCTGTAGTCAAGGAAACCATAATTGCGTGAAAAAATGAAGTCATTCTCTACATATCCCTTGATGGGATATGAAAGCAAAAGTAATGTATGGATTATGATTACAAAGGCATATTATGTATCCAAGCTAGTGCAATGAAGCCTAGACAAGAAATATATCAACGAGTGACATATTTTCAATGTTCGTAGTTCTGACTATTGATGCCTGAAGCAGACATGTACTATTTAATATATTAGAAGAATTTATTCAAAGTTAGGAGTAGAAGTTGTATATCACCTAAAGATATGGGATTGATATTTTCATTGCTTTTTAACTCGTCTAGATTCTAGCAATTGTGATGAAGTAGTTAAATTTGATGATAGTCAGAATTTATTTGGATATATTAGTGCAAAAGATGTGATTATGTGTTTAATCATTTGATAAGACAGAAATAATATTGTGATTTCTCGTTTCCGGAAGTAATCACTTAGTCTCAAGTGGATATTTCTGGAAAATAATTACTTTTTTATGATGGTAATTAGTGATGAAAAAGTTTTTTTTGAATTATGCAAAACTGTAATATCAGTCCTCCACAAGTTTAACTTTCAGCATGAAATTAACTCTTCATGTTTGACTAATATGCATATTACCTACTTTTTATCAAATACTTTTTTTTTCGACAAAAATTCAGATTTGTCTTAAGAGTAATCAGTTCTTGTCATATACATAACTTGTACGTATCACGTAATAATGCACGTTTGGTGAATAATGACTGATAACACGATCATCGAAATAAATGCTTCATGCGTATTTTAAAATTAAATCGATAAAGAAGTTTGTCAGTCAGTCAATAACTTTCAGATTGTCAGAAATCAGAGGTAACCAAATACCATGCAAATATACTTGTCAAAACATTTTGATATTAAAATTGCTTGTGAAGTTAGTCAGTACTTAATCAATCTTATTTACAGGAAGATAAATTTCGAGCTCAAAGGTTTATATTTGTCATAAAAATATAAGCACGTGGGCGTGCGTGTATGTCATAGAGGTGTGTACGAGTGTGTATATGAGATACCCATTGTGTGCACTCGTCACAATTGATTGTTTGCAATGAGCAGCATTCGCTGTGATTCGCTGATAGTTGTATGAATCATTCGAGAAACGTGTTAGTGTGATGAGTCATTGCTTCCTACCAATTCTTGCATTTCTCTGTGTAGAAGATATTTGATTAGTAATGTGATTACAAAAGAAGTAGAGGAAAGATAGAAGTATTATTTCTAGAATTATTTAGATTGCTTTTACAACGATTTATTGATTTTTGTGCATCGAGAGTGTGTTTAGATTGCTTCTGTTGGGAGTTATTGATTTGGTGCATTGAGGTGAGGAAAACTGCTGATTGTTATTAACAAGAAGCAGCTGTATATATATATATA